AAAATAAAAAAAAAAAAAAGAATTGATTTGTGAATCAAGATGTGATCTATTCTGGAGAATATTCTGTATGTATTTGAGAAAAAAGTGTATTCTGCTGCTTTTGGATGGAATATCCCATTAATTCTATCTGGTCTAATGTGTCATGTAAAACTTGTGTTTCCTTAACAGTTTTCTGCCTGAATGGTCTATCCATTGATGTAAGTAGAACATTAAAGCCCCCCATTATTATTGAGTCACTGTCAATTTCCCCTTTCGTGGCTGCTCAGTTCAGTTCAGCTCAGTCGTTCAGTCATTCCCGACTCTTTGCAACCCCATGGACTGCAGAACGCCAGCCTCCCTTGTCTATTACCAACTCCCGGAGGTTGCTCAAACTCATGTCCATCAAGTCGGTGATGTCATCCAAGCATTTCATCATCTGTCATCCCCTTCTCCTCCTGCCTGCAATCTTCCCCAGCATCAGGTTTTTGTTTGTTTGTTTGTTTTCCCCATGAATCAATTCTTCGCATCAGGTGGCCAAAGAAATGGAGTTTCAACTTCAGCATCAGTCCTTCCAATGAATATTCAGGACTAATTTCTGTGAGGATGGACTGGTTGGATCTCCTTGCTGTCCAAGGGACTCTCAAGAGTCTTCGCCAATACCACAGTTCAAAAACATCAATTCTTCTGCTCTCATGCGTACATGACTACTGGAAAAACCATAGCTTTGATGAGACAGACCTTTGTTAGCGAAGTAATGTCTCTGCTTTATAATATGCTGTCTATCTTGGTCATAGCTTTTCTTCCAAGGAGCAAATGTCTTTTAATTTCATGGCTGAAGTCATCATCTGCAGTGATTTTGGAGCCCAAAAAACTAAAGTCTGTCACTGTTTCCACTGTTTCCCCATCTATTTGTCCCATGAAGTGATGGGACCGGATGCCATGATCTTAGTTTTCTGAATGTTGAGCTTTAAGTATCTGAGGTTATTGATATTTCTCCCAGCAATCTTGATTCTGGCTTAACTGCTACAGATAAATAAATAATTCCTACTTTCTATAAGATTATAAAACAAAGGTGTTTTGTTTTTTGTGTTTTTTGCACAATAAATTTGAAATAAGTCCTATGAGTTTTTACATAACTTTGAATAACATGTAGTAAAATAAATATTTGGTTAAAAAGTTCCAATATGTTACTTTAATTTCTCATTGACCTATTTTAGCCACCTTCAAAAATTATTTCAAGGCAAGTAATTCAATACGAGGCAAATACTGTGGAAACATCTTATTTGAATTTGAAATAAGCAACATAGAACTTGATGGAAAAATAATTATAAAAATATTTCTATCTCTGTCTTCATGTCTTCACACATTATACATAGAATACCATTATTGATTTAAAAACAGGCGTATAATTCGATGTGACACTAGAATGTATCCTGGAGTGAAGAGAATTAAATGTAATCCAAGTACATCTTTGAGCCCGTTTTGCTTAAGCACATCTGCACACATCTAATGCAAATTTTTACCCCTCTTCTTTATTTAAACTTTCCAAGATATGTTTGTATGCTATAAGATGGGCTAAATTTTTTTCAATCTTAAGTTAAAATACCTTTGAAAGACTTTCTCATTTAACCAAACTTTTTCTCACACCTAGGTAGGGCAAGAAAAGAAAAAGCCTGAACACGGGATGACAGATATAAAACATGAAACATGACGAGATAACATCGCCCACGGTCATGTGCTATAGCCCACCCTCAGGATTGTTTGTGAAATTGTGCACTTTGGTTGTCTAAGGATAACCTCTGCTGCGTTTCTTCATTTAGTGGGAAAACTGACTGAAAGCCAGCAAGGAAAGTGAGGCTTGCTTGCTTGCCTGTTTGTTCTGTTTTCAGCAGTGCTTTTTCTTTTTCTTTTTTCCCACACGCAAAAATTTCCAAGTTAACAGAACAATTTGAAAGAAACTAAGACACTAAAAATAATTTCATTAAAATTACCTTACTAAGTATCCCCATTGCAAACAACGTTTTAGCTGATCAAGAATATTCAAGAATGATTCAAGAATAAAATGTATGTTCATCCTTCTTTACTTCCTTCTCTCCTACATTTCCTTATTTTCTTCCTCCACGTCTGTTTCCTAAGCTCAGTCTTTCTAACTCAATTTTATCTTTTTTGTCTTTGTTTCCTGAAATCCTGCCAATAGTTTTAAGAACAAATTTTAATCTATTGGCATAAAGTTAGTATACTCAAAAAGGGCAGTGGTGCAGTGCAAATTTAGGTTTAAATTAAATAGGAAAGCAGATTAACTTGCCAATTAAATAATAACAGGAGGCAAGATTTTTTTTTTNTCCAGTTTTCTTGCCTGGAAAATCTGATAGACAGAGCAGCCTGGTGGACAATAGCCCATGTCATCAGCAAGAGTCGGATATGACTGAGCAACTAACACATTTTGCTAATCAGCAATCCGTTCCATGTTTAATCTATATATAATCATTTTAAAATAAGAGAGTGGCAAATATTCTAATTAATCAGAGTATAAGGTATGTTGAACAGAATAGGCTCCACCAGCATTAACATCAATGGATTTACCAAAGCTCTCAGCCTGTAATGTTAGGAACTTGATTTTCTCAGCATTCTCTATGTTAGTTCTGGTTCTCCCAGAATCAGGATTAACTTGGATTAAACATGTAAGGACTTCATTAGGGAAAATGTTCTTGTGGCTAAAAAGATAAATGAGTAAGTAAGGAGGGAGCCAAGGAAGGCTGGAGAGCCCTCACAGTAGAATATCTGACCTAAAGTGGAGAGAGGTCCTAGAGAGTCCGGGAAAGTGGCATTGCAGGGAAATTCATCTGGCTGTCTAGAAATCCTTGTGGCACAGGCAGAGGAGAACTGTGACCCCCAGGTATCACTTATTTTAGCATTTCAATCACATTTGATCATTCACTGGGAGTTGCTCTTGGGTAGATGGCCTTGGGAGCAATATGAGTTCAGAACAAACAAGAGGAATTCTATTGTATACATCTGCAATTACAGCTCTGAGTTCAGTTGGCCACCACAACCCTAGAAGATGATCCAGTTTTTAAAATATATTATATATAACTAGCTCATAAGAAATTTGATTACATGTTAGCAACAGTGTTTTGCTTACACTAAGAGCTAACTTAATCTTAGTGTCAAATTTTGACATTAGTATTCATAATAGTACATTGTCTAATTCTGTCATAAGATATGCTCTAAAGTAAAATTATATGTATAAATTTATCTGCAATTTGTTAACTTTTTCTCAGCCTTCAATGTTGCAAGAATTCAAATATGTCTCTTTTTTATAATTCATGACAACCTGGAGGGATAGGGTGGGGAGAGAAGTGGAAGGGGGGTTCAGGATGGAAGAAACCCATGTATGTATACCTATGGCCGATTCACATTGATGTATGGCAAAAAACATCACAATATTGTAATTATTCTTCAATTAAAAAAAAAAAAATTTTTGGGGGTCCATGGATTTTCATTAGGTAAGAAGCTGCAAAGATCTGCTGTCAAATTAGAAATATTACATGGGAGGAACATTATGGAATTAATTTTTCATTTGATAGTGACTTGCCATTTCAATCAGAAGTAGCAATTCGTCACATTCCCCAATCCTAATAAAATATTAGGCATGTTAATTCTTCAGTTTGATTGTTGTGTGAATGTGAAAAACAAGAGGTATAAATTGAGTAATATGTGACTTGTTAATTGTCAATAGCTCTTCTGTCAATCTACTCTCCTGAATCCATTATCACTATAGTCAGGTGCTGAACAGGGTGAACATGAAAGCAACATGTTAAAATGCTTTGGAGTGACTAGTACTTTTACTTGTGAGCAAAGTGGTTTTTGGAGCATGAGGTAAAGTTTGTGTTAGAAATGCTTGTAGATTGCATGCATCCCCCCATCTTCTAGGGTGGGCTATGCAAGGGAGTGCATGGTTTCCATGTGCTGTTACTATAACTCACATGCAAAGAGCCAACCTGGCTCCACTATCCACAACAAGACCTCAGACATCATTTATGTTAACCCAAACATTGCCATAAATATTTCTCATCTCAATTCCTAGATAGCTCATGACTTTCACTTAAACCCATCTTTAATAAAATAGAATTTACTTGGATTGCCCATTTGGCAAAAATACCAATTATCCAGTTTTGCATTGCTCCACCAGGAGTGTGTGTGTGTGTGTGTGTGTGTGTGTGTGTGTGTGTGCATTCACATAAATGTAGTAGTAAAAAGAGGAACACGTAAGGCTGACATTAGTTTTTTGCAGGTAGCATTCATCTTCAGTGACTCAGGTCACTCTTTGGTCCTATTTAAATGACAAATATGTTTCCGCACTGGTGCAGAATCAAGCCAGTCTGTTTGACTTTGACCCGATATCTGACTGCTGTGAAGTCTGCCTTCTGCTCTGGCTGTTATTCTCCATCAGCCCATAGCTGGAACACATAGAAAAGTATTTATTTTTAAACATTGCTCATCAAGTTGTTTAGTTCAGTTGCACAGGTTCCCAGTTGTCTGAAACTTGCCATTCACTTGAATTTTTATTTTATTTTAGCACAGTGTCTACTTTGGTCCTTGGAGTTGACCCTCTTCAGTTTATGTGTCAGGGATAATTGAGTGTTATGCAGTCATCCACAATCTGCACATACTTATTCCAGTAAAGTTGTTTCCCAGTAATTCTCTTAGGAGCAACCATAACTGTGGTACCTTCTAAGATCTTGTTCTCTATTGTTATCTTTTCTTTTCTGGCTAACATATAAAGTGATATCCCAGCAAATCTCATTTGATTTCCTGATGTGTTCTTCCTTGATAAAAGAAGCAACTTCAATTTCTCTCTATAATACTAAGAACATAAAGTATGTTTATTTTTACATCATTTTGGATTTTTGTATAAGTCTCCAGCAAATAAATGAAAACAACTTTTTCTTACTATGTTTGTTCAGTTCTAAGAACTTCAGGCCCCACTTTAACTCAAAAGGTCATGTTTTTTCTTCTAGGACTATAATGATGAGATTCGTCAGGAACAACTACATGAATTATCTTACTTAAATGGCTCAGAGGACTCTGATCGTGGCAGAGGTGTTAGAGGCAGAGGGATAAGAATAGCTCCCACAGCTCCATCAAGGTACATTACTTCTTGCTTTAAATAAATAAATTTATTTATTTAATAATAATAAATAAATTAGCAGTCACTGAAGATGGCAATCCCTTGCTGGCCTGTTCTGTGTCATAATCACAGCAAGGAATAAACAACATCAGCAACAATAAATACCATTGACAAAAAAAGCAATAACAACAGATGCTTATGTAACTCATAAGAGCTTTACATAAAGTATCACCAGTGTATGGTTAAGCATTATCTACAGGTGAGCAACTGATAAAGATGTAACCAATATGCCTGAGAACACACAGGCAGTCTGACTCCAAAATTCAGAGTCTGAGCTCTTAACAACTGTTCCAAAAAGAAAAGAGGATCATACCTGAGACTGTTTACTTTGGTCCTGTCCCCAGGATTAAGGCAAGCAGATGATATAGTTATACACATCTTTGAGTCAGGATGACCTTGCATAAAGAGAAAATTTCAAGTATTTCCGGTGCCTTAAGTGACCCTTGAATTGATATAGTCTTACCAGAGAGGTATAGAGATAAATGAGGATAATGATAGATGGAGGTAAGTAAATAGATATTTAAATAAATAGAGTCCAGAAAGCCAGATGTATATTACCTACATGGGTGAGAGTAAGAATACTTTAGTTATATTTGGTTGTGCAATGTCATCAGAGAATATTTTATTTGATATTATTCACTTTGCAAACAAAATAGAATCTTTCTGTATCAGAATTTGTTTTGTAGGATTCTGTGTTTGTCAATCTTTCAGCAGAAAGTATTGTTCTGTAAAGAGGTAAAGTGAAAAATACACATTTCACACATAGGCTGTATAATTCTGTCCTTCTCTTTGTCCTGTTGAAGTTGGCTTTCGAATCTCTAAATGTCTTAGAATTAGCGTAGTATTTCATTTATTGCCTAGAAATCATCTTAAGAGATTCCAAGATACTTTAATAATTCAATTTGCCTTTTATCTGCTTTTATTAACATCATCATTATTTTTCTTTTTTAATTATTATTTATTTTAATTGGAGGATAATTGCTTAACAATGTTGTGACAATTTTTGCCATACATCAACATGAATCAGTCACAGCTGTACATGTGTCCTTCCATCCTGAAATCCTTCCCACCTCTTTCCTCTCCCTATGCCTCTGGGTTGTCCTTTTTTTTTTCTTTTCCTTTAATTTTTTTTTTTCCTTTAATTATGTCCCAAATATTTTAACCACCTTCCATCACTGGTTTTAAACTTTAATGACACACATCAAAAAATTTATACTTATCAGGAAAAAAAGTTAAGAATGACAAATTTCCCAAATAAAGTATCAAGGGAATAATGAGATGTAAATATAAAGCCTGGCAATTATGCAATTACTTTGACAAATGAAAAACCTTCTGAAAATGTTTCAGTGGTATTTTTACATTTATAACTGAGCTTTCTAATGCTACCCAGAATATTAGTTTATTTTTTATGGATATACCTTTTATGGAATCAACCTTTTATAAGACCCTTATATTAACCCCATTTTCATGGGTTGGAGGGTTTAAATAATGAAATTGTCACTTTTGTAGTTCAAAAAATTGATAATTTTGGCAGTTTTTTATGGTGCACATTATGTATTAAAGGAGAAGGAAATGGCAATCCACTCCAGTATTCTTGCCTGGGAAATCCCATGGAAAGAGGTGCCTGGTGGAATATAGGCCATGGGGTCAAAAGAGATGGATATGACTTAGTAATTAAACCACCACCACCAAGTATGTATTGAGTGAGTATACAGGGAACTAGTCTTTTTATATTCTATATTCCTTGGAATTGGGACCATTTAAAAAATAATGCATTAACCTGTTTTTGAGATTATAAAATCATTCTATTAAAGGATTTTGTTTTGTTATTGATGTTCCTTAAGGTAATAATATAGCTGTCATATTGAGTAAGCCATATAAAATTTCAACTTTAGTGAATTTTTACTCTAAAATATTAATTTCTCCAATTGTTTAGTAAAGGATAGAGCATTGTATTATTGATTTTTAAATATCTTGGAAAAATTTGATTGAAAGCTTTGCTCAATCTGATACTGCATATGTAAAAAAGAGAATTAATATTGAAAATTAAACCTCAATTTCAATGCCATCTTAATGTCATTAATATATTAACATTAATAAAAGTAAATGTAGCAGAACTCTGATGTCTTCTGTTTTAAACCACATGATGAAATGCATCTGCAATTGTAAGAATAAGAAAATATTGTCACAAAATAGAAGATCATATTAATCAGAAAGTTCTTAAAACACATGGATTAATGGATGCTCACTCATTTCTACATTCATCAAGTTGGGTTTTTTTTTTTTACTTATTTGATTTCATTTAAATTTAAAAAGATTTGTACCTGGTGTATTTTTAAAACTTTAATTTGTTGAAAATGTGTTTAATTAAAGGAATTTATATTTCAACAAGCATATCTATGAAAATTATCCAATCCTCCAATAATAATGCATACCATAAAACAATGCACTACATCTATATATTATAATAATTTATATCACATCATTCCCCTTCGTGGATCACATCCTTGTTTTGGCAAAAGGGCTTGTATAACTCAATGAAGCTCTAAGTCATGCCCTATAGGATCACCCAAGAAGGATGGGTAAGAGTGAAGAGTTCTGACAAAATGTGGTCCACTGGAGAAGGAAAAGGAAATGCAAGAAGGCAAAGTGGTTGTCTGAGGAAGCTTTACAAATAGCTGAGGAACGATGACAAGCAAAAGGCAAGGGAGAAAGGGAAAGATATATCCAACTGAATGCTGTTCTAGAAAATAGTAAGGAAAGATAAGAGGCCTTCTTAAATGAATAGTGCAAAGTAACAGAGGAAAACAATTGCATGGGAAAGACTAGAGATACCTTCAAGAAAACTGGAAATAAGAGAACATTTCATGTCAGGATGGTCATGATAAAGGGCAGAAATGGTAAGGACCTAACAGAAGCAGAAAAGATTAATAAGAGGTAGCAAGTATACACAGAACTATATAAGAAAGGTCTTAAGTGTCCAGATAACCACGATAGTTTGGTCACTCACCTATGCCAGCCATCCTGGAGTGTGAAGAAAAGTGGCCTTAGGAACCATTACTATGAACAAAGTTAGTCGAGATGATGGAATTCCAGTTGAGCTATTTAAACTCCTAAATGATGATGCCATTAAATATGCATCAATATGTCATATGTCTTATGTCACTGCACTCAATATGTCATCATATTTGGAAAATTCTAACAGTGACCACAGGACTGGAAAAGGTCAGTTTTCATTCTAATCCCAAAGAAGGGCAATGCCAAAGAAAGTTCAAACTACCTCACAATTGGGCTCATTTCACAGGCTAGCAAGTTCATGCTCAAAATCCTTCAAGCTAGGTTTCAACAGTACCTAAACCAAGAACTTCTAGATGTACAATCTCGGTTTTAAAGAGGCAGAACAACTAGAGATCAAATTGCCTTCATTCATTGGATCGTGCAGAAAGAAAGGAAATTCCAGAAAAAAATCTGCTTCTGCTTCATGGACTATGCCAAAGCCTTTGATTGTGTGAATCATAACAAGCTGGAAAATTCTTAATGAGAATGGGAGTACCAGAGTACCTTACCTATCTCCTAAGTAACCCGTATTTGTGTCAAGAGGCAACAGTTAGAATCAAACATAGAACAACTGACTGGTTCAAAGTTGGGAAGTGAGTATGTCAAGGCTGTATATTGTCACACTGTTTATTTAGCTTACATGTAGATTACATCATGCAAAATACCAGTCTGGATAAATCACAAGCTGGAATCAATATTGCCCAGAGAAATATCAACAACCTCAGATATGCAGATTATATTACTCTAATGGCAGATAGTGATGAGGAACTAAATAGCCTCTTACTGAGGGTGAAAGAGGAGAGAAAAAGCTAGCTTGAAACTTAATATTAATTAAAAAAAAAAAAAAAAAAAAAGCTCATGGCATCCAACCCCATCATTTCATGGCAGGTAGATGGAGAAAATGTGGAATCAGTGTCAGATTTTATTTTCATGGGCTCAAAAATCATTGTGAATGGTAACTGCTGCCATGAAATCAAAAGATGCTTGCTTTTTGGAAAGAAAGCTATGACAAATCTGATGTGAAGAATTAGCTTATTGTTAAAGACCCTGACACTGGGAAAGATTGAGTCAAAAGGAGAAGGTGGCTACAGAGGATGAGATGGTTAGATAGCATCACCAACTCAATGGACGTAAACTTGAGCAAACTCTGGCAAGCAGTGGAGGTCAGAGGACACCGATGTGCTATAGTCCATGGGATCACAGAGTTGGACCTGACTTAGCTACTTAAAAATAAAAACATTACATAATTGAAGACTTAAGATCATCACATGTATCACCACTACATGTTGGATGAGTGTGAACAGTAGAAAAATAAGACATTTGAAGCAGTCTTTGAAGTTATTTTTGTTTGTTTTCTACAATGAGAACTATGGATGGAGGAGCCTGGTAGGCTGCAGTCCATGAGGTCGCTAGGAGTCGGACACGACTGAGTGACTTCACTTTCACTTTTCACTTTCATGCATTGGAGAAGGAAATGGCAACCCACTCCAGTGTTCTTGCCTGGAGAATCCCAGGGATGGGGGAGCATGGTGGGCTGCCTTCTATGGGGTCACACAGAGTTGGACATGACTGAAGCGACTTAGCAGCAGCAGCATCAATGAGAGCTAATACATAGATAGAACAAATGGAGCTTGTTAAAGAGAAGAGTACTCACATTTGTTTCCAAGAAAGATGACTCAATTACCACTGTGATGACAGAGAAGACTTAGAGAAACACACAGAGAGACAGACACTCACGACAGAGAACCCGGTGAAAAGGCAAGTCCATTATCCCACCCAGAAATAAGTACCACTCAGAATATTAGAGGTAAATGATGCGATTAGAGATGAACATTTTTTTGAATTAGTTTCTGATTGGACTTCCCATTTGGCTCAGCTGGTAAAGAATCTGTCTGCAATGCGGGAGACCTGGGTTCAGTCCATGGATTGCGAAGATCCCCTGAAGAAGGGAAAGGCTACCCACTTCAGTATTCTGGCCTGGAGAATTCCATGGACTGTATAATACATAGGGTTGTGATGAATCAGACACAACTGAGCAATTTTAAATTTCACTTCACTTTCAGTGCCTGATTAGATTTTGGAGATCAGAGAGTGGTCCTACACAGGCTAAATCTCTAATGTCTGCCCTGGTTACAAATTAATGACATACATTAAAATTAGGTAAAAGACCAAGTTTAATGAAGAATATAATTATTCCTATAGTTGATCCTAGGCTATGGATTGCCGGTGTGTCCTTGGGAATATGACTTGTACTTTCTATGACTTGGTTCTCAACCTTTTATAATAGCTTAGAAATTGCTATGTGACAACTTTGTCAAGATTATTAAGTTAGATGACACATGTAAAGCACTGGCTCCCAAACTGGTTCCGTTCAGTTCAGTTTCTCAGTCATGTCCGACTCTGTGTGACCCCATGGCCAAACTGGTTAGCACATTGGAATCACTGAAGATCACTGCTGCTGGAGACTGATTTAATCAGCATGGAGTGCAGTCTGGAGTCTGGACGTTTTCAACGATCTTTAGGTGACTCTAACTTGCAGACCAGCTAAGGAGACATGGTCCAGGTTATGGTGTATGGTAGGGAGGAAAGTGCTAACCACCATCAGGGTGGGAGACTTCAAAGTGCACTGTGAGGCACAGGAAATGGTGACAACCATCTCCCAAGGAGGGCCTAGGAGCAGATGTCAGTGAATACACCTGAAGAGTAAAAAGGGGGAGTGGGAAGACAAGCAGAGTTATATACATCCAAAGAAGGCATGTATAACCCACAGTGATAAGCGTAGCAGGTACTATGATATGGGGACTGTGTAAATGAACCCGGTGGATCTGGAAACTAGTAAGATTCTGGTGACACCAGTCAAGAGTATTTTCAACAAACTGGAGAAAACAATAACTAGATTTCATTTGAGTCAGGAATGAGCAGGGAGTGTGAAATTAAGGATAGAAAACTTTCAAGAAGTCAGGAAAGTAGAGAAAAGAACACTATAGTGTTGATTCAGCCAGAAACACTATGTTCTAAATAGGTGATACCAATCTTGAGTTGAATTGGAGATCTGAGTTGATGAGAGGTACAGGGTTAATATTTCAGGGTAAGAACATATGATGTCAGAGATAATGAGTCAGGTTCAAGAGATAGGCAGGGTTCTGTCTGGGAGACACTTGATGAAGGAATGGGATGAGAAATTAGATTTGATGTGAGCACAATGTAATTCTAAAGCAGGAAGAATTGCTACAGATTCAGAAATCTTATTTTACACATTAAGAAAACAGTTATAACAAATCAGGCTCAGGGAGTTATAACAACTTACCTGTGATTGTTCTATGGCATAAATAGAATTTCTGGCTAAAGTATGGTGACATGATTTACTACCCACCCAAGGGACACTTTCAAAAAGTATTAAAAGTATAAAACTAGGACAGCAGTTATAGTTCTGAACTATACTGGGCAAAGCTGGATATATGCACACCTTACATATGAAGTGTCAGGAGGCCCAGTGAAGGCAAAAATTTGTCTATATTTCCATTTTATAGACGGGCTTTTGTGTCATCACAGTAGTTTAGAATATTATGGTCTTAGATATATTTTGATTGAAGGGGGCCTTTCAGGATCTCCCAATGTAGGAGAGCATTCTCTATACATTAGATTCACAATAAGTTCCCTAATAGTTTCTCTATTCATCAGCTCTATAATCTATTGAAAACTTTTAAGAGCTCTACCAGTATTCTTTATTGTTCACTCTTAAAGCTCATTTACTACAAGAGCCAACTGCCTACTATTCATAGCAGAAAGCATAACCTACATCCCCACCTGTTCAGTTTAGTTCAATTCAATTCAGTCACTCAGTCCTGTCTGACTCTTTGTGGCCCCATGGACTGCAGCATGCCAGGCCTCTCTGTCCATCACCAAACTCATGTGCATTGAGTTGGTGATGACACCCAACCATCTCATCCTCTGTTGTCCCTTTCTTCTCCCACCTTCAATCTTTCCAGCATCAGGGTCTTTTCAAATGAGTCAGTTCTTAAAATCAGGTGGCCAAAGAATTGGAGTTTCAGCATCAGTCCTTTCAATGAATATTCAGGACAGATTTCCATTAGGATGGACTGGTTGGATCTCATTGCTGTCCAAGGGACTCTCAAGAATCTTCTCCAACACCAGAGTCCAAAAGCTTCAATTCTTCAGCGCTCAGCTTTCTTTAGAGTCCAACTCTCACATCCATACATGACTCCTGGAAAAACTATAGCTTTGGCTAGACATAACTTTTATGGCAAAGTAATGTCTCTGCTTTTTAATATGCTATCTAGATTGGTCATAACTCTCCTTCCAAGGAGTAAGTGTCTTTTAATTTCATGTCTGCAGTCACTATGGAAATATAGACTAACTTTTGCTTAATTTTTTATTTTGGAGCCTAAAAATATAAAGTGTGTCACTATTTCCATTGTTTCCTGATCTATTTGCCACGAAGTGATGGGACCAGATGCCATGATCTTAGTTTTCTGAATGTTGAGCTTTAAGCCAGCTTTTTCACTCTCCTCTTTCATTTTCATCAAGAGGCTCTGTAGTTCTTCTTTCCTTTCTACCATAAGGGTGGTGTCATCTGCATATCTGGGGTTACTGATATTTTCCTGGCAATCTTGATTCCAGCTTGTGCTTCATCCAGCTCAGCATTTCTCATGGTGTATTCTGCATATAAGTTAAAAAAGCAGGGTGACAATATACAGCCTTGATGTACTCCTTTACCTATTTGGAACCAGTCAGTTGTTCCATGTCCAGTTCTAACTGCTGCTTCCTGACCTGCATACAGATTTCTCAGGAGGCAGGTCAGGTGGTCTGGTATTCCCATCTCTTGAAGAATTTTCCACAATTTGTTGTGATTCACACAGTCAAAGGCTTTGGCATAGTCAATAAAGCAGAAGTAGATGTTTTTCTGGAACTCTCTTGCTTTTTCAATGATCCAACAAATGTTGGCAATTTGATCTCTGATTACTCTACCTTTTCTACATCCAGCTTGAACATCTAGAAGTTCATGTACTGTTGAAGCCTGGCTTGCAGAATTTTGAGCATCACTTTGCTAGCATGTGAGATGAGTGCAATTGTGTGGTAGTTTGAGCATACTTTGGCATTGTCTTTCTTTGGGATTGGAATGAAAACTGACCTTTTCCAGTCCTGTGTCCACAGCTGAGTTTTCCAAATTTGCTGGCATATTGAGTGCAGCACTTTAACAGCTTCATCTTTTAGGATCTGAAATAGCTCAGTTAGAATTCCATCACTTCCACTAACTTTGTTCATAGTGATGCTTCCTAAGGCCCACTTGACTTTGAATTCCAGGATGTCTGGCTCTAGGTGAGTGACCACAACTTCATGATTATCTGAATCATGAAAATCTTTTTTGTACAGTTCTTCTGTGCTTTCTTGTCACCACTTCTTAGCATCTTCTGCTTCTGTTAGGTCCATACCACTTCTGTCCTTTATTGTGCCCATTTTTGCATGAAAATTTCTCTTACTATCTTTAATTTTCTTGGAGAGACCTCTAGTCTTTCCCATCCTACATCCCATGATCATCATTTTCCTAAAAGGCTTAGCGATCTTACTGAAAGTAGTGCTTTCTGGTGGCCAAAGTTTCAGACAAAATAAAAAGTGAAATAACTATGGTTTTGCCCAAAGATTTTAGACAAACACTCAACCTTTCCAAAGACCTCATAATACTTAAGAATTAACTGCAACCATTTGATCTCATGCTTTTAGTACAAATTACTTATGTGTCCAGCACTACAGTGCAAGGTATTCAGTTATTATTTTTACAGCAGAGTCTGCATGTGTTCACTAGCACCATACTTACCACAAGAAATAAATTATATCAGGAACTTTGCCCATTCAAAGGGCTATGTGCATAACGATAAATCAGTGACAATGAGTTGTGATTCAAGTGACCTTAAATCTAAGCTACTATAATAGGCAGAATGATATCATGATAGCTCCANTCAGTGACAATGAGTTGTGATTCAAGTGACCTTAAATCTAAGCTACTATAATAGGCAGAATGATATCATGATAGCTCCAAGTATTGTCAAAGTGCAGCTTTTTTTTTTTTTTTTAAGTGACAAAATTGCCTATCACTGTCAGTTACCTCCAGCATGGAGGAGACATTGAAACTTAGGTGCACTGGATGGTCCAGTGAGTCATATATTAGACATTGCTCTCATTTTTGCTTTTTTGGTAAACTTCAAATAGAAATGAGAGTGGGTTGATTTTTGGTTGTTTTGCTTTAAATTTTTAGTGTTATAAAAAATATCAAAGTATTTTACATGGTTTTCATGATAACTCAGTCATACCCAATATTTACAAAACTTATTCTGTGGAGGTCAAAATGCTTTATATCCTAGAGAATCTCCATTAAACACAACACACTCACACTCTCAGAGGTGCAGAAATAAATGTGGTTTTCTTCCCATTGTATACAGCCTGTAAGATGAGAGATTTGCCAGCTTTAGTTCCTTTCTCTCATCACTTGTTTCTCATCTGTACATGGCCTGTTTCTCCTAGGGGACGTGGGGGAGCCATTCCTCCTCCCCCACCACCTGGACGAGGCATTCTCACCCCTCGAGGGACCACTGTGACCCGTGGTGCTCTTCCAGCACCCCCTGTAGCGAGAGACATTCCTACCCCGCAAGCCCAGGGGTCACCCACCATGCCAGGATACAGGGCACCCCCTCTGCCAGCCCACAAGGGGTACGAAGAGTATGTAAGTACTCTTGAGAAATCAGTTGTTAGGAGGAGTTAAACTGGTTGGACATCAAGCTAATCTTCAAAGACATTCATATACCATCAGTATAGAAGATGATGTTTGTTGCAGGAAACAAGTGTCATTTGCAACAGACAGTAGTAGTTCATTTAAATGAGACCATTTTGAGAAAAGCTTTCATTGTACAGGTCCCATCACTGTTGTTATTACAGCTAAATAGCTTACATTTTAAGAAACAAACTATCTTGAGGTTTTCTTATATTTAGGAGACATGATTCATTTCAAAAAGAAATAATTATGAACATAATGTGAATAGTCATGTATGGAGAAGATTCTCCTGGGACATGATAAAGATGAATATAACTGAGAAATATTTCACAAATATAATGTGATTACATTACAAACTTTGTTAGTAATTTAAGACCGTGTGGTTGGGTTTTCATTTAAATATCCTACTCTCTTAGTGTGTGAAAGGTAAGGAAGTGGCAGGTGTGAATTCAGAACTCAGTGCAGAGTGAATGTATGAATTGCAGGGTCTCTAAGTACCTCTCCCCCTTCCAGTCCTCTGTATTACTCTGCATTCCCTTTGAACCTTTCACCTGAGTTGTTAGCTTTCTGCTGGTCACATGTTCTAGTTTCCGTCTCCATTTCTCATACTAGATTGTGAAACTTGTTAAAAGGGTAAGTTTCCTATTCACTTTTGTAACCATAGTAAGTCCACTGTAAAAGTTTGATTGAATTGACACGACCAGATTATCATCCTATGAAACAGATATATTTTGCCTTTAACCTTTCCAAGATGCCCATCCACTAACCTAGGTGTTTGCTTCATTCAAACATAGATACACTGTCCTTTGTGAATTTTACTTATATAAACTCTTCAGGAACAGTTCGCATCACATTCTATTCACTAAAAGCATATAAGTATTTTATGAACTGGTTAATAACCAAGCAAAACTTAGTCCTATAACAAAGTAAAAATGTTTGCTAGGCATCTCTAAGAACTTTAATGGTTAGAGCATGTTAATTTTTAGGAAAGTTACTGACTAAATATGATACATGGAATAATGTTTCTAAGAGTGAAGAAAAATACTAAGTTTAATGATCCATTTCTATGGGAAGAATGGAAATGTGTTCATCTAAGTATCTTTTGTACATCAGCTATCAATATTTAAAATCTTAGCCTGAAAAACTGAAAAATCTGCAACAGATAGTGTATTCTACCATCTGAACAAGCCTGCTGATCTAGAAAGTTAGAACCTGGTTCTGGTTCTACCATCTCTTCAGTGAGACATATGTACTGTTTCAGAAATAAGTGCTCTTTAAATGAATGAGTGAATAATTCACAACAGGGACAGTGGGATTGCTTTTCCTTTTCTTATTCTTATCTCTGAGGAACCGGGTCTACCGTCTTTATGTGCATGGACACTATGATGTTTTTGTCTTCCAAACAGAAAGCTAAACAGTCAGATCTTTATCTCAAACATTAAAACAGAGAAAGAGTGGTCAACATTGTTATCAATAAATAAATTTACAGCACTTATATGGCAGAGTAAAAGAGAACAAGATTGGAAAAACTGTAATCTTTCATGTAACTACAAAAGCATTGTGGCCTTTCACATTCATTCCAATTTGTAGTAAATAAATCAAGGAGTGCAAGGCAAAAACAGTAAGCTGCAAAGGCATAAAGATTTTATGGAAACATGAGCATATTCTGAAAAAGGTTATATTCTGAACTGGAAATTTTAGGTGGATGATTCTTATGGTAATTAAAGAAAGTATGTCAAGACATAAATCTGATTTTTTAAACATAAATTTAAAGTATCAATTCCTTCATTCACTCAGGTTTCAGTAAACCTCTGAGTCTAGGTCAAGGGTCTGAGTCTGTATAAGCACATCCCTGGTTAAGGAAACAGCAAGCAGAAAGGCACTGGGAAGAACTTCCTCAAAATGTTTGGGGATCAACTAGGAAAACATCAGAGCTGGAGAGTATGTGAGGGAGACAGAGAAGGACAAGGGCAGGGCAGCATGTTGCTATTGGAGAGTTTGGGGCAGGAAAGCCACAAGAGCAGATATATGTTTTAAAAGATTTCTTCTGTACACATTGCAGTGGACAGAATATGCAATGAGATGGGCGCAAGAATTGAAACAAGGAGACTGGCGACATCCCCATGGACAAAACAAGGCTCAGAGGGGTGAGAAGAGGTCTATTCTGAGTCTATGGAAATTATCTAGAAGGATTTGATGATGGGACAGAGGGAGAATGTGTGCAAACAGAAAGGAGTAAAAGATAACTTTGTGAAGTTTTGTGAAACGTAGGTTAAACTGACCAACCAGATAAAATTGTGGTGTCATTTGTTGAATTGACAAGTACAGGGTGGTGGAGGTGGGGGGAATGGAAAGGTCATTGGAGATCTAGTGAAGTGTTTGGCTTTCAGGAAAGTCTGTCGTGTTGCTGGGTGGAACTCACCTGACTTTCAAAACAGAAAGCAGCATCCCACAGTTTGAATTCTAACTGTATCACCAGCTGTGTAATTTAGAACACTCTGGGTCCTGGATTTCCTCTTTGTAAAAATGGGGATAATCATTTCAGGCTCACAAGACTGCACTGTTTAGAAATAAACATCTATAAGCACTTAAAACATGAGTATTCATGAGTATCCAGAAGATACAGACAGTAAATAAGTAGCTATTTTAAAATTTTCATCATGTATCATACTCTACAGTTTCTCCCCAGGTAAATTATGGATCCACTGAAGTCACAGATATTTAGTTACTTTTTGTAAATTAACTGGGTAAATTAGTTGTTTGCAAATAGAGAAGCTGTGTCATCTTCTTTTAATGATAAATAAATAAGTGAACAAACAAACCTGGCGGGGGGTGGGGG